GTAATGATATCAGCTCTAGAAACAGATCTAGTTTGAGAGTTAGGAGGAAGGGGAAAATGTGAAGATGAGTGAAGAGTAGAATCATCAGCGTAAGAATGGATAGAATTAGTTGTAGTGTGAAGTAAATCATTGATAAAAAGAAGGAACAGAGTAGGTGAAAGAACAGAACCCTCTGGGACACCACTATTGGTAAAGAAAGAGCGAGAGATCGAACCCTCGACAACAACTGCCATAGATCGGTTCTCAAGGAAGCTAGAGATTAGAAAACAAAGTGGGGGAGAGAAACCAAAAGAGGGAAGTTCAGAAAGCAAAGACTTGTGCCATACCCTGTCAAATGGTTTGGAGATGTCGAGGGCCACGACGAAAGTTGACAAGGTGTATGTATGACAAGACGTCGATATAGTTCACCGTACCGACTATTTAAATTTTTTGTGCTTCCCTAAATCATCATTTACTGTGTTGAATATTGAGAAACATCTCGAATCCCAAAACTCTAGTCCTGCTTATATTTCTACATCCTATAAATGTCACGAATGTACCAGAAAGCACTGAAGGGTATGTCACTTGTGCTGAGCATCCTGGTGACTTTCTGGAACCGAACTGAAGAACAGGATAGAGGACTTGGTGGAGATCTACAGAGATGACCTCCCTTCACCTGGCAGCTTCACTGTTGGGCCTTCCGGTGGCAGAAGAAGCAGTCTGGCACCCTGCCATCCTCCATCATCAGCTCTACAGCATGCCACTACCGTGTTTCCCAACATCCGGATGTTGCTGACCATCCTTTGCACCCTGCCAATCACCACCTGCTCTGCTGAGAGGTCCTTCAGTGCCTTGAAGCGCATCAAGACCAACAGAAGATCAGCAATGGGGACTGGACGACGGTCTAGCCTCAGCCTCCTCCACATCCACAGAGAGATTTCAGTGGAAGTCAATGACATCATTGATATCTTTGCACGGCGAAATCCGAGTAAAATGGAACTTGTTGATATTATTGCAGATGATCATGAATAACTGCAATGAAGTGATTGCTTAACAATACAAAATAAAATGTTAATGAACTCAAAATGTGGTGGTGATAGCATATAGATAAGTTACTCTTGATGTGTAATAAAAATAAAACCTGATTTATACGTTGATTGCCTTGTACTTTTTCCTTTTCAAGTGTCTGTTATGACGTTGAATGTTTACTCTCACTCTACATTATCCCTTGATTATCTTTTCAAATAACCGAACAGCCGTCGCATATGGCCTCAAAATTTCCCTAAAATTGAAAAAAAAAAGATCAGAGTGAGGAACAATATATGTATGTTGTGTTGTCAATAGTAAGAGAGACAATTGAGACCCTGCAACTGTGTGTAAATGAAGCAGAAAGTCAGATCAGCAACCTGGGACCTGGTCACAATTTTCGTGATGCCATATGGCAGCATACAGGTATGTACTGCAGATATAGATTGAGAGATTGAGGTGTGTGTGTGTGTTCATCCTCCTTCTTGGTAAATACTGAAGAAGTATCAATTTAATTAATGTGGGTATCACCAGATAGTATAATTACTCTTCCACTTTATCTTTGGAAAATATTAAAAAAATTTGTTTTAAGTGGTAGTGGCCTGTTGGGCGTGGGGACCTCCCAGGCTGACATAGCTGGGGGCCTCAACATGGCCTATTCTGACCCTATCACTCTCTACCTCTCACTGTTAATTTGTATGAGTGTCTCGACCTATCAACTGTTGTGTCTCGACCTATCAACTGTTGTGTCTCGACCTATCAACTGTTGTGTCTCGACCTATCAACTGTTGTGTCTCGAACTATCAACTGTTGTGTCTCGACCTATCAACTGTTGTGTCTCGACCTATCAACTGTTGTGTCTCGACCTATCAACTGTTGTGTCTCGACCTATCAACTGCTGTGTCTCGACCTATCAACTGTTGTGTCTCGACCTATCAACTGTTGTGTCTCGACTCTATCAACTGTTGTGTCTCGACCTATCAACTGTTGTGTCTCGACCTATCAACTGTTGTCTCGACCTATCAGCTGTTGTGTCTCGACCTATCAACTGTTGTGTCTCGACCTATCAACTGTTGTGTCTCGACCATCAACTGTTGTGTCTCGACCTATCAACTGTTGTTCGACCTATCAACTGTTGTGTCTCGACCTATCAACTGTTGTGTCTCGACCTATCAACTGTTGTGTCTCGACCTATCAACTGTTGTGTCTCGACCTATCAACTGTTGTGTCTCGACCTATCAACTGTTGTGTCTCGACCTATCAACTGTTGTGTCTCGACCTATCAACTGTTGTGTCTCGACCTATCAACTGTTGTGTCTCGACCTATCAACTGTTGTGTCTCGACCTATCAACTGTTGTGTCTCGACCTATCAACTGTTGTGTCTCGACCTATCAACTGTTGTGTCTCGACCTATCAACTGTTGTGTCTCGACCTATCAACTGTTGTGTCTGACCTATCAACTGTTGTGTCTCGACCTATCAACGTTGTGTCTCGACCTATCAACTGTTGTGTCTCGACCTATCAACTGTTGTGTCTCGACCTATCAACTGTTGTGTCTCGACCTATCAACTGTTGTGTCTCGACCTATCAACTGTTGTGTCTCGACCTATCAACGTTGTGTCTCGACCTATCAACTGTTGTGTCTCGACCTATCAACTGTTGTGTCTCGACCCATCAACTGTTGTGTCTCGACCTATCAACTGTTGTGTCTCGACCTATCAACTGTTGTGTCTCGACCTATCAACTGTTGTGTCCCGACCTATCAACTGTTGTGTCTCGACCTATCAACTGTTGTGTCTCGACCTATCAACTGTTGTGTCTGACCTATCAACTGTTGTGTCTCGACCTATCAACTGTTGTGTCTCGACCTATCAACTGTTGTGTCTCGACCTATCAACTGTTGTGTCTCGACCTATCAACTGTTGTGTCTCGACCTATCAACTGTTGTGTCTCGACCTATCAACTGTTGTGTCTCGACCTATCAACTTGTGTCTCGACTCATTAACTGTTGTGTCTCGACCTATCAACTGTTGTGTCTCGACCTATCAACTGTTGTGTCTCGACCTATCAACTGTTGTGTCTCGACCCATCAACTGTTGTGTCTCGACCTATCAACTGTTGTGTCTCGACCTATCAACTGTTGTGTCTCGACCTATCAACTGTTGTGTCTCGACCCATCAACTGTTGTGTCTCGACCTATCAACTGTTGTGTCTCGACCTATCAACTGTTGTGTCTCGACCTATCAACTGTGTCTCGACCTATCAACTGTTGTGTCTCGACCTATCAACTGTTGTGTCTCGACCTATCAACTGTTGTGTCTCGACCTATCAACTGTTGTGTCTCGACCTATCAACTGTTGTGTCTCGACCTATCAACTGTTGTGTCTCGACCTATCAACTGTTGTGTCTCGACCTATCAACTGTTGTGTCTCGACCTATCAACTGTTGTGTCTCGACCTATCAACTGTTGTGTCTCGACCTATCAACTGTTGTGCCGACCTATCAACTGTTGTGTCTCGACCTATCAACTGTTGTCTCGACCATCAACTGCTGGTCTCGACCTATCAACTGTTGTGTCTCGACCTATCAACTGTTGTGTCTCGACCTATCAACTGTTGTGTCTCGACCTATCAACTGTTGTGTCTCGACCCATCAACTGTTGTGTCTGACCTATCAACTGTTGTGTCTCGACCTATCAACTGTTGTGTCTCGACCTATCAACTGTTGTGTCTCGACCTATCAACTGTTGTGTCTCGACCTATCAACTGTTGTGTCTCGACCTATCAACTGTTGTGTCTCGACCTATCAACTGTTGTGTCTCGACCTATCAACTGTTGTGTCTCTGACCTATCAACTGTTGTGTCTCGACCTATCAACTGTTGTGTCTCGACCTATCAACCGTTGTGTCTCGACCTATCAACCGTTGTGTCTCGACCTAACTGTTGTGTCTCGACCTATCAACTGTTGTGTCTCGACCTATCAACTGTTGTGTCTCGACCTATCAACTGTTGTGTCTCGACCTATCAACTGTTGTGTCTCGACCTATCAACTGTTGTGTCTCGACCTATCAACTGTTGTGTCTCGACCTATCAACTGTTGTGTCTCGACCTATCAACTGTTGTGTCTCGACCTATCAACTGTTGTGTCTCGACCTATCACTGTTTGACCTATCAACTGTTGTGTCTCGACCTATCAACTGTTGTGTCTCGACCTATCAACTGTTGTGTCTCGACCTATCAACTGTTGTGTCTGACCTATCAACTGTTGTGTCTCGACCTATCAACTGTTGTGTCTCGACCTATCAACTGTTGTGTCTCGACCTATCAACTGTTGTGTCTCGACCTATCAACTGTTGTGTCTCGACCTATCAACTGTTGTGTCTCGACCTATCAACTGTTGTGTCTCGACCTATCAACCGTTGTGTCTCGACCTATCAACTGTTGTGTCTCGACCTATCAACTGTTGTGTCTCGACCTATCAACTGTTGTGTCTCGACCTATAACTGTTGTGTCTCGACCTATCAACTGTTGTGTCTCGACCTATCAACTGTTGTGTCTCGACCTATCAACTGTTGTGTCTCGACCTATCAACTGTTGTGTCTCGACCTATCAACTGTTGTGTCTCGAACCTATCAACTGTTGTGTCTCGACCTATCAACTGTTGTGTCTCGACCTATCAATCCTTTTGGAAGTGAAAAATACCAAATTTTTTAATATATTTGTTAATAAATGTATGAATGGGAAAGTTAACTACGTACAGTACTTGTTTATGTTTCCTTTTCAATTCACACGCATTTAACTCGTTAGGGACTGTCATGAATTTGTGAATATATTATGTAATATCTAAATAAACATAAGTATATTGAGATTATACTTAAATATATTTAATTCGTTGAAATGCAGAGAACGTATGGAACACACTCGAACATCGGCAACTGAAGTAGTGTTGCCAAAAACAAACTTCGACCTCATTAAACTGCTGCTGGCTCGGTTCAGTCTGCCGAGCGAGTCAGTGTGCCTCTAGCAGCCAGCGAGGTAGGACGTACGAATCTTCTCTGAGTGTACAAGTGATCATTCTTTAAAATCAATAAAAATGGAGGGTTTCAAGCACATTCCCGTGAAGCTTGGAGACTTCAGCGTCATCGACCAGGAATTTAACTCCATTCGTGAAAGATTCGATTCAGAAATGAAGAAAATGGAAGATGAGATGACACGCTTCCGAAATGAATTGATGAATAGGGAGTCATCTCTTTTCCAGCGCTCCTTGTTGACGTCATCCAGGTAGGGTTATCTTACAGTGATTAATTAACTCATTGTTAACTACCTTTAGTAGCTGTACTAGAACTAATTTCACAGTGTGTAGTGAGATGACACCGCTTGGGATTATATGGAATAGGGCGGGGTAAATCATCCTGCCAGTGAGAATCGACAGCCACTGTATTATATTTTCTTGGAATGGATAAGTTTCTAGGAGAGAGTATCATGACAGCCATTGAATGTTGTAGTGTAGTAAATGAACTACCTAATACATTTATTGATCATTGTGCGTGAAGATTTAAAAATAGCGGTATATCAATTCAAGTTCAATTGTTTATTCCTTGATAGAGGAAGCGGGATCCTAGTGCTGTCACTAGGTACCCCTGTACAATGACACCAGAAGCATCTGGCAAGTGTGACAAGTATATACAGTATAAATATTATAAAGGGGCTTACTAAAGCCTAAGGAAGGAAGGATATTCCTTTAACACATAATCAATATTATTTACAAAATATCTGGCCAGTATGGGGAGGATCATCGTGTCTCCGTCAGGGGGTCGTGGAGTGGTGGTCCAGCAGGCGTCACGGAAGCGTTGTGTGTGGGGACATCTTAGGAGGTAGTGGATAAGGGTGCTGCTGTCGGGTCTTCTGCATAATGCACAAGAGCGTTGCTCAGGGGATGCGGGGATACCAATCTCCCAAGCAAAGTCATACCCAATGATGATATGGGCAGCAATAACGTCCCCTTTCCGCGACCCTTTCCCGTAGACGTACGAGAGGTCAGGAAGTTTACGGAGGACATCGTACCAGGAGCGGTTTATCTGTGATGCTTTTCGTAGTAGATAATTAAGAAGTGCAATCACGGTAATGGAACAATCCAGATGTTGCTATGTTCTGATAAGATATTGCTGACGTTGAGAACCCACCAAGTCACCAATTATGTAGCATTTCATTTTTCACTCCACATACTGTAGTTAGCGGTGAGAGCATCACTTTTATGTGACGTGTTCGGATCCACAAAGCTTTAAGATGTAAAATGCACCTAAATGTTTGACTAACAAGAGTACAGGGTTCTTTTCCGGGTAGAATTATCGTTTCCGTCATCCGCCTATTTGAAATGGTCAGAATCTCACCTTGCTGGATGACCGAAACGATAATAATAGTTTTCCTTTGTTTACCCTCCTAATCAGTAATGAAAATAGGCTGACTTAGTTTTTTACACAATTTTATGATGATGGGGGAAATAACTTAAACCGTACCGAGTATACAGGATTGATTTTATTAAACGATAGCATCAACTCAACTAACTTCAGATATTGTCGCTCAGCATCAGTAAAAGGTATAGTAATTTAATTTTGGGATGTGGTACTATGTTAACGTATCTTTAATTATAGGTAGTTCTTGCGTAAATAATTCAGTCATGTTATGAATAATGGTTCCCCGTTACTTTGATATCTGTAGTAGTTATGATTTATCCGTAAGTGCAAAAGTTCTTGAACGTAAAATGTTTCATGTTCCCCAAGCACAGGATTTTTTTTTGTATTTCTCGAATGCGGGTAAGAATAGTCTTAACTTGTATATAGATATCAAGAATGAGTGAAATAAGGTTGTAATACATACAGTGCAAGTACTTACAAATACGGCTCCATTATATCCACAAGGGCCAACAATATATTGCACATTGGAGGAAAAAAAATCAAGGTTTAGTTCAAGCTGCATATTTCCTTAAACATCTTCGTGATTTTTATGTATGGATGACTGGAGAATTAAGGACAGGTAGACACAGACTCGAAGCAATCCTATAGTCACACCTGTGAAATTAGTAAGGGACTATTGAGACTTTATATAATGTAAGCACCAAACTTTAACTTGTGATAAAGATAACGTTGACCACCATTGTGTGACACTTGTTGCTGAAGGTCGGCATATGCTTCCCTGCATTGTATCTTGGTGGTGTGCGTGATATTACTCATCCCCATAAATAGCTTTATTGTTCCTGGCCGGTTTGCAACGAAAACTGTTTAAATGTCAGACTTTGGGCTTGAACCACATAATAGGTAACTTGCAATGCAGGAAAACTCGTTCCCATAAAGCCAAGCATCTACTTTGGATACGATACGTAATTTGTATTTTCTACACTATTGATTCAATATTTCGTGTATCAGGTAGGTGAAGTGTTAACCTAGTAACTGTAGTTTATAAAATAATGAAAAATATTGGATCAAGCCTGTTACTGGGTTACTATTTAACGATGTGAGAGGTTTTTGACTACAGAAATTGGAGCTCTGTTTTGCACGAGAAATATTTACAGGCACATAATAGTTGATTCATCAAGTCAACTTTAACTTGAAGAGCATCCTGTACTGGTGTGTGGCGCTGGTGAGGTGAGGAAACAGGGATGGATGGATTGATTGTGGTAATTACGTCCCTCGCGATGCAACAGCTTAGGTCATGTGTCGCCGAATTTAAATAAAAGCTTAGAAGACTAAAATTAAATTATGCAAGGTAAATAAAACAAAGAGTAGTGTAAAACTTTCGTAAACAGGTATGTGGCCATAAACGATAAATTACTACACTAGTTCTTGATTGAGACCCTTCGTGTGTGCCTTTGTATTATAATCCGAAATAATGGATTTTTATTTAATTTTATTGGTAATTCCTTCATATCTTTGGTATAAAAAGATTTACATAATGTTATTTATGAATATAACAATCTTGTGTTGAGTCAGAATTGGAAACTTTGCTGCGTCTCCCCCCCCCCCCCCCCATGTCCCACCACATACCCTGCCAGCTGCCGCCACCATCCCTCCCCCCATGCCCCACCACATACCTTTTTTTTGTAGGGAAAGGAGGAATGAAGGAAGATTAGAGGTGGGGGAAGGAAGTTATAGTTCGGAAATTGAAGAAATTCAGGAGGAGGTAAGAGAGGGCGGGCTGACCGCCTAGCTAAGCTAATAGTGTGTTAGGGTTGTGTCATGGGTTAGTTATTGTCTGCCGGTACAGGCACTAGACAGCCTACCCTGTCCCATTTATGGGTGTTTTAAGGGCCTTATTTCATATTCCGCCGACCCTACTGGCGGATGCTGGTCTAGGGAGGTTGTCTATTGCCTGGCCGTGTAGATCTGGGGTGGTAATGGACCTTTTGAGGTTTCGTAACTTTTTGGGAACCATGTATGGTTGTTGTCGTTATCTGGTGGGAGTCTTTGAAGGAGTTCTTGTTCTGATCGTTCTATCTTTTGCCAGATTCTGCTGGCCAGGGTGTGCAGCTGCTGGTTGATGGGTTTCATTCTCAGGTCTCTATGTATTTCAGCTGTGGTTCTGGTGAAGGGGTATCTTTCACCTGTGACGAATCTTAGGGCTTCATTTTGGACCACCTGTAATTTTAATATTTGAGTGGTGCTCATAGAATGAAGAGGTTTTTCTGGGTAAGTTAATATCGGTGTGATAAATTATATCACCAGGCGGAGTTTTATTTTCTCAGGAAGCACTTTAAAGCGGTATAGTTTTCTCAGCTCTCTTGCTTTTTCCTTCCTGCTGTGGACATGATGGGAGTAACCTGTCGTGGATATATGTAGGCCCAGGAGGGTGCCTCTGCTTTTGTATTCTATCTGGGCATTATTGGTTACTATTGGATGGGTTTTCCTTCTGCATAAGGGTATCACTGTGAATTTCGGGAGACTGGTTTGGATTTTCCACCCTGTCAGCCGCCACCACCATCCCACCACTCCCCATGCCCCTCCACATATACCCTGTTAGCCGCCGCCACCTCCCCTCCCCTCCCCATGTCCCACCACATACCCTGTCAGCCGCCGCCACCATCTCATCCAGAAATTCTATCCCGTAAAGGCACACTCTTTCCTCCTCGCCACTCATCGGTCGGTAATGCTCTGACATATTTTTAAGGGAATAATCGTCATGATTGTTGTCGGTCTGGTAGTTAAGGACTCAAGTTCCAGTCCCTGGTTCAAGTTCTGCCAAGGGAATTTTACAGTAGTTATGATTATGAATTCATACAATAGGTACAAAATTTCTTGTTTGGCAACCGAGGTGATCAGGTGATGTAGCGGGAAGTGGTGTGCTAGCCGGTCTCAGACAAGCAGACTCGTCTATCATTACTTGTTATTTGTCTGGGAACTCCAAGGAATTGATACGGTAATAACATTTAAAAGATGTATTTGATTTTGAGCACATCCATATTTTTCGTAGTTTTATTGTTAGTATTTGACCACCTGTTTACATAATTATACGCTAGATAAACAACACCAGTGGGGTTTATTTTTTGGTCAAACAAGAGATCCAACCCTCGGGGCGAGTCCTGCATAGTGTTGCGGGCAGCTTCACTACAAACATCTGTGGATTTGCATTTTGTGCCCTTAATATAACATGAGGGTATTTTTAGGATGATAGTTTTGGTGTCATAGAGAATTTTTAGTTAGCTGTATTAATGCGAAGCGAATACTAGATACGACTGTAAAACGATACCGTAAATAAAAAAGAATGACTACGGACACAGGAAAAAATAGTCAAAAAGAATTGTTAAAACCATTTTTTTTTTTTTGCATTTTAAGAGGTTAAATACAACATTTATAGTTTCATATTAATGTTAATAAAAGTTGAAATAAGACGATATACTGTACCCTTAGATCAAGTAAGATGTGGCAGGTGTTTTGTTGACTATTATCTGAAGTTTTTAGGGAGCATAACTCCTACCCCCGCCTCTCCTCTTGTCTCCCTTATAAATGTTGACCTTTAAGCATCCTTAAGTCGGTCGAGCAAGGCGGGCGTCTAATTTTGCTTTAACGAGGACCAGAATAGCGCGCCATTACTGATGTATGCCTGAGTGTTTATGTGGAGACGTCCAAATTTTCCAAGATTCTTACAGGGAACTTTTTGTTTAAGTGAAGACGGAATAATGTAAATTAAGGTTGTTATAAGATAGAACACAATATAAGTCCAGAAATCACCTAAAAATTAAACTAAGACTCTAGTGTAGGCTACCTTAACTAGATACGTCCACTTAATAC